ACAGGTTTGATTTGGCAGGTTGGCTTTCTTGCTCAGATCTGAGTGAAAGGGTGAATCAGCCTCATTTACCTCAGTGGATGCTGATCTGCATATTTAATGAGGGCCCAGCTGGGTTGGGTTGGGTGTCCTTGCCAGTTGCAAGTTTTCTTTTAAAAATTATTCGTTCACAGGATGTGGGCATGGATGGCTACACCAGCATTTATTGTTGTTCCTAAATTGCCCAGAGGGCAATTAAGAGTCATCGCTGCAGGTCTGGAGACTGAAGTTCTAGACTTCTAGTCTGCCTTGAGCCCTTGCAATTTGCCTACTGGCACAAATACCATCTCCCTGGCCCTACACTCACCCCTGGAACATCTGGATAACAAGGATACCTACACCAGGCTTCTACTTACTGACTTCAGATCCGCTGTCAATACTTTGATCCCAACCAATCTCCAAACTCCAAGACCTAGGTCTCTGCACCACCCTCTGCAACTGGATCCTTGACTTCCTGATCCACAGACCGGAATCAGTGAACAATAGGCCACAGCCATGATAATCCTCAACACCGGCGTCCCACAAAACTGTGTACTCACCACCCATCCACTTCACTCCCTCTCCACCCCACTGCATTCCCTGTACAGTCATCACTGTGTGGCCAAATTTCGTCTGAACTCTATCTACATGTTCACTGACAACACCAGTGTCACAGGCTGAATATCAAACAATGACGAGGCAGAATACAGGAAGAAGATACAGTGCTTGGTGGTGTGATGTAAAGATAATAATCCCTCCCCCAATGTTAGCAAAACTGAAGAGCTGATCATGGACTTCAGGAAGCAAGGAAGAGGGCACACCCCTACCTACACCAATGGAGCGGAGGTGGAGATGGTTTACAGCATCAAGTTCCTCGGAGTGACAATTACCAACAATCTGTCCTGGACCATCCACGTTGATGCGACGGTCACAAAGGTATCACTCCTTGGTACGGCAACTGCTCTGCCCAGGACCATAAGAAACTACAGAGAGGTGTGAACACAGCCCAGTCCATCATGCAAACCAACCTTCCATTCACTGACTCCATTCTACACTCCTTGGTGCCGCAGAAAGGCAGCCAAAATCACACAGCCCTCTCACACCGGTTATATATATTCTCTTCCAACTTCTTCTGTCAGGCAGAAGATACAAAAGCTTAACCACACATACCAACAGGTTCAAGAACAGCTTCTTTCCCACTGTAATTAGACTGCTGAATGGACCTCTCAAATTTCCAACCTAATGTTGATCTTGCTATTTGTGCATTTTCTTAACAGCCATAATTTTGTATTCCTCAGTCTGTTCAATCACCCTGTGAATTTTGTCAGAGTCATAAAGCACGGAAACAGACCCTTCGGTCCAACCAGTCCATTCCCGAACATAATCCCAAATTAAACTAGTCCCACTTGCCTGCTCCTGGCCCATATCCCTCCAAAACTTTCCTATTCATGTACTTATCCAAATGTC